CAAGATACGGGATAGTTCTAGAAACAAGAGAGCGTGAGAATTGTCACGTGATCTCGATGACGCAACAGTACACATCATGTCTAGCTGAGAACACACAGTTAAGATCAGAACTGTAAATTTTATCCATAAACATGTTCTATTTTCCTACATTAAACATTCACTTTGTTTAGAAATTTTTTTACCATTGTAGCAATTAACCTCTCTTGAAGTAAGTTTTAATGAAAAAAAGAAACTTGAGAGAAATTATGTTGGTCAAGTCATTTGTAAACCAACAATCCCTAACAATACTTCTTTCAAATGTACATTAGACCTAAACCCTTTTATGAAGATTTACAAAAAAAAAAACCCACAAACATGGTTAAACGGCCATTAAGAGAGATATAAACGTTTATAATTTAGAATTGTTGAGCAAAGAAAATTACAGAGAGTCAGTAACACGTACTGTCTATGTGGTTACTAATAATCAAATAGGAGAATTTACAATGGCATATCATGGCTTACACCTTGGACTTTCCAATCTGCAGTGGGCGTGCTAAAACTTGAACTATTTTATGTGAAATATAATGAATACATAAGTCCAGTAAAGAACATTTTCAAGGATAGAACACATTATAACAATGTGTTTTGCATTTCCATTAAAGCAAAATGATGAACAGTTACGAAAGCTGTCAGAAAATGTTAAAGTGGCTGTATAAGTGAGAAATTGGTTTCGCCCGTTGTTATGTGCATCAGATATTGCACTGTCTTAATCAAGTAATTCAAAGGTGCTTAATCAATGTTTTTCTGCAATAAATGTTTATTAAAGTCACGTTCACTTGTAGGCGGTGTTTTAATGTTTGTGTTGAAGAGTTTATTTATGAAATTAGGTAGGCCTTTTTTATTTGTTTGTTTTTGTTGTTATGCACAAAGCTACACAGTGGACTATTTATATTGTGCTCATCACAGAAATCAAAACCCGGTTTTTAGCGTTATGTTCCTTCGCTTCAGATATACTGCTGAATCAGTGTAAGGCCTGTAGGTCTAATATACTGTTACGACAGTGGGGGGGTCGCTACGACAGCGGGGTCATGTGACGAATATTCTAGAAGATTCGCTAGTGTGTTGCAACAGCGTTGCGTCAACTGACGCTGGTAGCACGTGTTGAGAGTCTTAGAAGTTTCTAGTCTAGCGCACTTATATACGATAATACTGCCTGTTCAGTGAGAGAGACAGACGGAGTCGAAGCAATAGTGGAGACAGAGACGTAGCGGAGACGAAGCAGGCAGAGAGAAAGAAAGACAGCGGTTACGGTCGGCGGAAACTGAGGATAGCAGACACAGAGATCGGAACTATAGTTTGCGGGGACGGACAATTATGACTAAGCGCGATAGAAAGTGAGTGAATTGTTGTGAACTATAGTGTGTGTAACTGTGAAAATTCAGTACATTACAAAGTTGTATTGAGGAAGAATAAACAAGTTTTATAAAGAAAGGACTTGTATCGTAGAAGAATTAACAAACAAACATACAGAGACATAACAATAGGTAGATGATTATCTGAGTACTCACACACAAGTCAAATGACCAATATGTGTTGTGAAGTTGGGACTTATTACGATTGTACCTAGTGTACACACCTCCTCAATCATTGGTTTCTATGGGTCAAAACCAACTGTGGGAGAAGGGCATTTGTGTTAAGTATGTGTGCATAGTCCCTCTACCATCAGACACTATGGGTCCCATTCCAGTTGCAGGAGGAAGGCACTGTATTGGACACAAGTAAGATGGATACTTATACAACCACTACTCAACCATCAGACTCTACGAGCCCCTTGCCTGCTGTGGGAGTAGGCTGTGTGAGCAATACACAGTTGAATAATAATGAATATCAACTACTCTGCCATCAAATACTGAGACTTCATGCCATTCAAGGAATAGAAGTAATGATAAACAGAGATATATGTAAAAGCTGGGTACAGTGATATGTGTCCAAAATCCACTTGGAGATTGTAAAGTATCTATATGAAATAGGGTGAATTGCACTACACTCTGGAAAAACCCCTGCTTCACTTCTCACTGTAGATGTACACGTGTTCTAGCCTCTGGTATTTAGGTCTCAACTGGTGAGGATTCTCCAAGTCCCCCACAACAGTGGCAGGGAGCTACTAAGTGACCAAGGGTCTTCCATGTTCCACTCGAGTGTGGGGAATTCACAAAGGAGAGATCCAGAAAATGTGCCCAGATCCCAATTGAGTGTATTTCAGAAAGATTCTTCAGTGTAGGTAGTGCAATGGGTGACCATAAACCCCTATTTTTAAAAGCCAGCAGGTGTTAGTCAGATGAACAACTCTGATACTGGCTTTTCCATGACAATCCATGAAATGGGTACAGTCTGGATTGGAGTACTGAATTTTATATAGTATTACTATGCGTATAACTCCAGTGGTCTTGTGAAACACCCTACCTCACAGTAAGCTCAGATTAAGCCAGGGTGGATGGTACAAGTGTTTTCCATTATATAGGCTTGATGCAAATTTTGAGTATGTATACCCTGGAAAGCAGCACTAGCTGCCTAGTGGGATCTGAAAATAGAATGAAGGTCAAAAAGAAATAAGTAAATAAATACTCTTTTCTGGTAAAGGTGCAGAGTCAACTGAAGAATGGGCATTTGTGGAAGTCTGTATGCTGCTGGAGGTCCGACAGCCAGATGATGAAAACAGTTTGAGATGAATGAGTGTGGGGTAATCCACATGCCAGCCAAGAGAAAGACCTCAAGCAGTTAATGGGGAATCTGCTGAGAGGAGACACAAAATGGTCATTGACTATCCACATCTAAGAAAAACTAAAATATTTTGATGAGTTGGAAGATCCATCTGGAAAGTGTGGAGGGAGAAAGAACTCTAGTAGATGAGGATGCTCAAGGAACATGAAAATGGTGTCAACAAAATCACAGCCAAGGGAACAAGCTTGGAGAAATCACCAGAACATCCATAAATGAGGGAGCTGAAGGGAAGGGGAATGAGAGAAAATATGGGACCACCTTCCTGAGTATCCAAAGTCTTGGGAAGAAAAAACAGTCAGGGTAGAGAAGAATGTACATGCAGGGGAAATGGATCAGAGCAGAGTTGCTAGGGCAGAAATCAGGACAACAACAAGCACTTGTAAGATTGATATGTTTTGTTATGAATTTTGTGCAAAGCTACACAAGGGCTATCTGTGCTACTTGTAAGAAAACGAAGAAAAAAAGTTTAAAAGAGAGGCAATAGAGGGAGAGCTACAATGGGTTCAAAAAGGGTAAATAGTGAGGGCATGAAGAATGACATTCAATTCCCAGTTAGGCAATGGAGTGGGAATAGAGAGCTTGTACAGTAAAAAGGAGCATAAGAGAGTGGTGAAGACAAGGGAGGGAAGAAAAACAATGCAGAATTGGAATGTAGTGGACAGGGCATCCCAATACCCCAGAACAGTAGACACAGACAAACTTCAGTCAAATAGCCAAGTAAAGAAAGAGGTGAGGTGATGTAAGATATGTTGGGGCCCATGACAGCCAGGTGGTTAGGGTGCTTGAATTGCAATCTAAGGGTTGAGGGTTCAAATCCTATCCCATCAAACATACTCACCCCTTTCAGCTGAGAGGGCATTATAATATAATGGTCAATCACACTATTTGTTGGTAAAAAAGTGGGTGGTGATACCTAGCTGCCTTCCCTCTAGTCTTTCACTGTTAAATTAGGGACAGCTAGTGCAGGTAGACCTCGTGTAGCTTTGGAGGAGGGTTTTGCTGCATGGTATGTCATCTTGCAATAGCACAAATTCACGTGAACTTTATGTGTGAGTTTTCACAAGGTTGGTGGCATGCAAATCTCTCAGGCAGATTAGCATGACTTCAAAAGGAAAATAGATTTCTATGTACAGAGGTGGGTGATCATATCGAAAGTGAGATTCAGGTTCAGTGAACCTGATAACCTACTCTTAGACCTACATCATGCCTGTAAGACCTTCCAGGATAATTTTAGTGCAACTTGATAGGGGGCTATACCATATAGAAAGGGACAATCCTAATCCACTTGCCTAGTTTGGTCCTGCTAGCTCCAGAGCTGTGGAAGGAATTAACTAAACATAAATATATATGTACAAAGCTACAAGTATAACTTGCTTAGGAAATAATCATCAACCAACCACTCAAACACTCAGAAATGGCTATTAAATCAATGTAAAGACTTATGGACACTGTAATTAACCAATCAATTTTAACATCTAGTGCCAATATAGAGATTTTGATAAACTATAAACAGTAATCTAAACATGACCTCAGACATACATTTTGGGTCATTATAGTGGTTTCTCATACGCTTATAATCATCAACCATACATCATCTTCTAGGTCATTTTAATGATTTAAGTGCACTGTATGAATTAATTAAAAATTATTTTTTAGGTCAATATAATGGTTTAGGCACTATACAGATAATGAAATATTACCTCATTGGTAAAAATTCAAATTAGGTACAGTGTAATCAAAACTACCAATTTGATCAATACAAGCAGCTATGAAATTGTATCCATTCATTTCTAGCTGTCATATTGAGTAACATAAAGGATTTGGAACCAGTCATTCAAATCTGATATCTTGGTTAATATATAAAGGGTTGGGTAACAACTAATAATCATTTCAGGCCGTTTACTAGTAAGTCCACTCGACTCTTCATGGATTTTATTTTATTTCATTTTAAAATTCCATTTAAGCATCTTCTTCAGAAGAGCTGAAACTTGTGCACATGGACCTGCCTTTCTCCATTCTCACCATCACCTCCTGACTAACATCATCACCACACGATGTCAACAACTGCACATGCTCCACCTCGGACTGGGAACAGATTCTTCCCCACTTGGCCTGTGTCTTCATCTGTCACAGCTTAACACTCCTCATTCAGTGCATTTCACCAAACACTTTAAACCCAGAGGCTAACTCATTCTACCTTGGACAGCATTATTAACTTTCTGAACTTCCCAGGTTATCTTTCAGTCCCCAAAGTTCACCTTGGAGACTGAAAGTTTTTAAAATTTACATCCCTGCTAAGAATTTTGGTATGGTTTGGTACAAGTCATTTCAACCTATTATCATAGTTAATAAATAGGGTTAGGTAACAGCTATTGGTCAATTAAACCTATCATCTTAGTTAACCCAAAATGGGTTAGGTAACAATCACTAGTCTTTTAAACATGACTTTCTTGGTCAAAATAAAGCTTTAAAAACAATGAAACCAACCTTTCAAGTACCTCAACTTCACTGTTTACACCCCAATAGTTATATTGAGCACTGATGAAAACAAGGTCTTCAATAGATGGGCTCTTTACTTCACAACCTGCCATAGGATTATCAAACACATTTTTTGTGATCAGTAAAGAAGAAACACCAAAAGTTGATAACAAAAGTGATGTTCCTTCACTGGAAAAATTGTTGTTCTCAAAAATATTGCTCACTATGCTAACATTAGAATGGTTGTCCAAGTTATCTTCCCTGTGGGCTAAGAAGACCAATGTTAGCTCTGTATTCTCCAAGAAAGCATTTCTTTCTATCTAAATGTAAAGAAATTATAAATTATCAGTAATATAGGTCAAAATTCTTTCAAAAATCTCTATCAGTAGATGTTAAAATGCCTGTTACATGTCTCATATGTAATATACCCACTTAGTTCTTTTCTTTCCAAATGTGCAATATCAAGCAGAGAGATAAATTTCATAATTTGTATAGCTTGTCAGTAAGATAAAAAACACACTGGCTTCTTAAGTAAATGGAAAAGTCTACTTTTAAATCTGTAATAATGATTGAATGTAATAAGTACTTACAGTAAGGTTGTGATTATCACCAAAGTCTAATTATTAATTACTATACACTGATTATGAACTACTATTTATGCTCCATTTTGGCTGCTAATCTGCTGCCATATTCAGGGAAGCCCTTATAAAGGCACTTTCTGTAGTGGCAAAGGCTGGGATTTGATCCTGGGTTTTCTTGATAGACAGGTTAATGTAACATTCACTCTTCTTAAGTCTCTCCCATTAGAAGTTGAATCAACTAACTTAGTGGAATTCTTTCAAGAACAGAATCCAGGTTTTGCAGACTTATATGCTATGTCAACTGAGTGTGCTACTGTATCAGTTAGGTGAGTACAGATGACAACTTTTATCTTTCACTTTCTCGTGTGTGGTTCATATTCCATTTAATTGTATGATCTTCATCTCTTTTAGTATGCAGATAGATCAATATTACAGAATCTTTTATGTATTATACTCTTGAATTCTAGCTTCTGCCCAACTTGTTTCTTGAATATATTGGAACCTATACTCATGAGGGATTCTGCAAATGGGGCTGTTGCTCTCCACTGGGTCTTTGGGAGTTTGGTGTGTACTAACTGTGATTGTATTCAGAATCCATGACACAAAAGTCAAATGGAGTTGCAATGGGGGATTGACAGGTGTATATAGGTGAATGAGTTAACTATGATTCCAGTTCTTGCTGCCATCTTTCTTATGAAAAGAGCCACTGAATTTGAATTGTGACTATATTTTTTAATGGTACCAGAAGATGTGCCCACATTATCACAATGGCTTTTTGGTTTGGGGGCTGGAAGATTCTTTTTTGAAACCACACCCTTCACTTAACAGATGAGGACATTGCTATTTATTGGTTGGGTGTGATTTCAGAGCTTATTGCTGTCTTAAATTCTCTGCTATGGAAGTTTTTTCAACTTCCATTGAAAATGGTGAAGAATCCATATTCGAAACTTAGCATCCTTTGGCTCTAAATCATTTATTAAACTCACTTTATGAATACTTCTCTTTAGAAAGGTACTTTATATAGTTCTGAAGCCATAATTCAACATGTGATGGCTTTCCACTGTCAAATGGTTAGGAAGTTGCCATGAACAAAATATATGTCCTAAATATATCACCTATAGTACCATGGCTTGCATCTGTAGTTACATATTGCTGCATTAGCAAAGGTGAATCATTCTTATAAAATGAATTAACATTCTATATATTTTAGATTAACATGCTGAACCAATATATATAAAAAAATAATAGCTGTTACACAGTAACATTTACTGAAAATGCATTGTAGACTTAACCCAATCAATTTCTATTTCAAATTACTGATATACTGTCAAATAATTAGGAGGACAAATTAGTTTTGAAATTTCTGAAATACTTTTCCAAAACAACTGGATGAAATGGAGATTCATATAAAAGGGACCTAGCTTAACAGCTTATGTAACTTAATAAATACCAGAAATTATATTTTTTTCTTAATCAGCAACTGATTTTATTTCTTTGCAACTATAAGTAGAAAACTCATTTTGTTGCGAGTAGCTTCTATTTCATTAACAATGGAATGACATTAGCCTTCCACCAACTGTAAACTATGGTAGATCATCAAATGTATTTGTTTATTGCCAATTACAAGTATAGAGAAATATTGTTAGCACACTCATATCAATTTACTTGTAAATCTTGACTTAAGTATGGTAACTTACAACACCAACTAAAAAGTCAAGTGCAATGGTAGTAATATAGTGTCACTAAAATTTACACTAATTAGTAAAACCTTGTAAGAAGATTGTACATAGAAGATTGTAATGAGTAGACAGTAATCTCCTAAAGCCTACATTAATTAATAAAACTTCTTGTTGAATCTTCATAATTTATAAACAGAAACATCTTCACACCAATTCATTCATATAGAAAACTACAAATACTTTTCAAGCAAACATTTCAACCTAAACCGAATCTGAACGCTGTCCTATTAGCATTTGAATTTTCCTTTCTTGGTAAAAAGAGTTAAATCTTATCTTCAAGTCAAACTTAATAAAATAATAACAATGCTAATTAATTATTATAACCATCTTCCAAGTGAAATAAGTGTTTGTGAGAAAAGATCAACTAGTGATTTCCCTATATTTAAGTACCAGATATTGCTGGCCCAGCATGGCCAGGTGGTTAGGGCACTCGACGCCCAATCTGCGGGTCGCGGGTTCGAATCCCCGTCACACCAAACATGCTCGCCCTTTCAGCTGTGGGGGCGTTATAATGTGACGGTCAATCCAATTATTCATTGGTAAAAGAGTAGCCCAAAAGTTGGCAGTGGGTGGTGATGACTAGCTGCCTTCCCTCTAGTCTTATACTGCTAAATTAGAGACGGCTAGCGCAGATTGCCCTCGTGTAGCTTTGCACGAAATCCATAACAAACAAACAGATATTGATAAAAGTGTGATAATTGTAAGACTTACACAAATAAGAATAGGTGTATTTAGATGAGCACAGATAGTGTTTTTTATTTCTTTTAGTTTAGACATGCTTACCATGTACATGTTTCTAGTAATGTCTGTAACTTTTAAAATAGAATGGTGGTCAAAAAAATATAGCTAGATCATTTTCACTAAAGTTACCTATTGTGCTATGTCATTCCTCTTTAGCATAATATGCACTTCCTTGTGGTAAAGATTACTGTACAGTGGAATACATTATGTAAAGACAGTAATATTTTTCATTCGTAGGTCAGTTAATACCTTGAGGATATATATATATATATATATATGCATATATGTTTTTCTATTGGAATGACCAACAGCAACATTGGTAGTGCCTGTAAACTGAAAAGGATGGCATTATGAAATGTTTTATGCATTGCTGTGCTCTCCCAGTTTGATACAGATATATTTGCGATTACAGTCAGTCAGTATGTAAGACAATTTTCTCTAAAACACTAAAAGCTCTGTGCAGTCATTTCTTTGATTCTGTTTGCATTTAATAAAGATTGTTTTACTCTTTGTTACATTGTGTTCAGTCTCTTATTTGCTTAAAAATCAAGCCAATCAGATTTATTTCTATATATTTTCTTTTAAACATTAATTTATTTGCAGATACTACTTATTCTGTTTGGGAAATCAACAACATTTGTGTACTTTTGCCTTACATGATCATGCATAACATAATTAAACATCACTAAAAGTTAATGTCATAATGATTATTTATATAAGAATTATGGCCAAGAATTATGAAAAACTCAAAAGAGAAGTATTAGGATGTAATGAAAACATTCCAGTCAAATTATCTTCAAATCTGAAAATGACAGAGTTTAGGCTTTCATTTTAATTCATCAGAACCTTAATGAGGTTTCTTCAGAAAGTGTGATTTAAAGTGTACTTACCAATGTTTCTGCACCTGAAAACTCCATATGAAGAACTGATTCTGAATACGAGTTTCTCCAGATCTCTTTCTTGGTATTACCACTGAATAAATTTTGTTTTATGTTAATTTTAGAACTATTGTCAAATTGAACATTCACGTACACTGTTGTACCTCTATTCTCAGTAAAAACATTATTTGATATTTCCAACATTACTTGTGGGCTGTTCCTGTTTGCATACATTTTAACTTGAAGAGCATCATCATTGTTTTCATGGAAAGTGCAGTTAGTTAAAACAACTTTAAGATTTGGGATTTCAACGTTGGTGTAATAACTGTAGAAATTACTTTGAACAGAGACAGGATAATTATTTTGCTCAAACACACAGTTCTTCATCACTACACCAACAGATTGTCCAGCTGTTAAGTAGTCATCATCAAACAAAGAAGCTCTTTTTTTTCTTTGATGATGAAAAACCACTTCATTAATTTCTTCAGAGTCATATATTTGAAGACCATTATTAGACACATCCCTCTTAGTAAGTTGTGACATTTCATATTCTTCAAAGGGATATTCAGTAAAAGATAAATTGTGATAGGCACAGGTGTAGGTATAGTCTTCCAAATAAACATTTAAGGGATTACTTCTATAACTTTGAACATTTCTGAATAAGCTGTTGTAAAGAAGAAAAATGCCTGGAACAAACTGAACTGTTACACCATATCTACAATCTATAAAATTAGCATCGCTGATTATAACAGATGCACACATTCGTGAATTTATAGTCATTGCATTAGACTTTGTTTCTCTTACAGTGCAGTTATATATGTTTATGTCATATTCTGTGTCTATCTCTATTCCGTTTCTTTCACATAAAGAAATCATACAATGTGAAAGAGATATGGGCCCGTTTATGTTTCTAGCTTTAAGTCCTGTATCCCGGATTCTGGTGATGGTAAAATAATTCAGAACTGGAGGGATTCCTTGTATATCTAGAGCTGTAGATGCATTAAAAATGTCCACATATTCTAAAGAAGAATTTCCTCCTAGAAACATGAGAAGTTTGCAAATTATTTAAAAAGTTCACTTTCCTACATTAAAATGTTAATATCAATTAGAAAATAGTAAATGTTTATTGAATGAACACAGGAAATTTCCTGATTCTTTAACAATATTTCTCTGTTAGCAGCTGTTCTTTATGTAACAATTATAAGAGAGCTATCCTTCAAACAGAATAAAAATGTTGAAAATACATGTAGTCTGTTACAAAAACAAATAACAAAACTCAACTCTTATCCATGATAAGTGTTTTATTAAATAAAATATGCTTAAACATTTCATTTGTTGGTGCAATATCAATCAGTTATATTAAATTATACATTAAACATAATCCAGAAAAACAGTTTCTTCTTATACATGCAATGTTATCATATAACTTGCTTAGTACCATGGCAATATGATCAAAATACAAATTAATGCCTAATACAAGGTTCTGTTTAATTTTATTTAATAAAAGATCTAATAGTTTTTATCCTTTTGTTTCACTTCAAGATGTAAATTTTACATCATATAAAAGTAAAAACATTAACCTCACTGTAAAATAAACTATGCTGCTTAAATTTGGAAATTCAGTATATTTATAGAATGCAACAATTCTGTAAGCATTAGTGTATCTTTTCCAATCTCTACTTCACTTTCTAATTTCTATCTTATTCTTTAATCTCTAACTTTCTAATATATATTCAAATTATATGTTGTTTATAATGTCTAGAGAATATATAGTTCTTATAGGGTGGTTAGTTTTATGGATACAGCAATTCAGCATGTAATATTAAAATGACTTTGGAGCATCATGAGTCACTACATCATTACTATCCACATCATTATATCTGGTCATACTCTATATTATGATTAGGCATCTTGACAATAATAGCCCTGCAGCATAGTTTCCACTGCAAAATACATCATCATAAGGCTGTCATGTTTAAAGCACACTCCTCCTCTCTACAGCTTTCTTAACCCATCTAGTGTACAAGGATGATGGTATCCCAACACCCATTTCAACATTTCCATCACAAAGACATCCAAAGGCATTACATCCATTAACTTTACCATTACATCTTAATATGGAATAGCATGAATACCCATGTAATTCTCCATCTGCTTGAGGTATGCAATGGTTAAATGGATATCTAGTGGTAGCAGTTTGTTTACATGTTACTTGTGTCACTTTTCCAGCTAGGGATCCTTTTTGATTATGTTTCAAGCTGCTGCCTGGGGCAGGTGGATGGCTTTTGCTCTCAATCCTTGTGTTCATCTTTTCCTAGCTGTTACAAGATGCTGCACTTTGCTTACCATGACTAGGATATGACTTGCTGGAGGTATCTTTCTGGATGGTCCTGATGCTCCAAGTTGTAAATCCTCAATTTAAACATATCTTTAAATCCTGAGTGTATAAACTTTTCGTGTTGGAAAGGGTTGTTACACACCTTTCTTAGAAATAAGAAATATTTAGTAACATCAGACATCCTAAGAAACACTAAATAATGTCAAAATGTAGTTCTGATACATTCTGTTTCAATGAAACTTTATATCAACTGTGTTTGTCACATGATTTGCTGATTTGCATATTCAAAATAATTTTAATGTAGAATACTTATCTCTATGTAATCTATGTGTGATAATTCAAGGATAAATCTGCATACAATCACCCAATCTCCACAAAAATGAGAGATTTTGGATCTAATATACAAAAGGAGATGTGTAATAATTTCTTGCAGGTGAAATAAAAGTGTTAAAGTTTAAAACAAGGTTCTAGGATATTTCTTGAAAAAAAGAAAAAAAGAGAAAAGTGGCTAATTGTAAAAGTCGAAAGGACTAATGAGAGTTAACTAATGAGTGTTAACTTACATAATAAGCAAAAGTGATAGATTATAACTTAGCACACAGATAACACTTCACCAACCAATCTTGACTTTCTCAAAAAAACAAAATGCTCCAAAGCTCAGGATCCATCTTTTTAGAAAATTGCCAAAACTGCACTAACAGTATACTGTCTCTATAGTTGAACAATCAGAAAATTGGTCACTATTTCACAAAACAGTACATGGTTTTCTGAAATGGCAGAGCTACAAAAAGTAATAACACCTTAGGTTTGGTTTTTAGGCATTACCTCAACCAACTTTTTGAATAATACCTCATTCTCAAGAGCACAAGAGAGGAAGAAACCTTGAAGGAATGGAAGACAAAAATTAGCTACAATTTCTGCAATAATTATATCCTGATCACTAACACCAAAACTTTTGCTTGATCTAGTGATATTTCAGGATAAATCTGCACACATGGAAAGACTTAAGAATTTTGTTGATAACAAGGGCAAACATATATATATTAGGTCATCAAGAAATTAATGTCATGTTTTGGAACACTTTCATTAACCACCCCCCCAAAAAACATACATCATGTATAATAGTTAAACGAACCACCTAAACATCATGTTAGTGTAGCCTATATAATGTGTAAAGTTTAGTATACTCTAATCCCTTATAGTGATGGCACATGATGAGATACCCATTCGGCATGTAATGCTGTTTGAATACAAGAAGGGAAACAATGCCTCGGCAGCCACAAATAATATCAAAGAAGTTTATGGGAATGTTTTGAATGTTCATAAGGGTCAACGATGGTTCAACAAATTTCAATCAGGTGACTTTGGCCTTAAAAACTGTGATGGCAGGGGCTGACATGTTAGAATTGATATTGATGATCTGAAGATGCTTGTTGAGTCTAACCCAAGGTAACACACTCATGGAATGGCCTTGAAATAGCATGTCTCTCATGAAACAATACATAAACATAAAGGTGGTGTTTGAGTGCCTCACAAACTCTTCGATGATCATCATTTCCAAGGTGTGAATGTTGCTTCATCTATTCTAGCGCATAATAAGTGTGAACCATTTTTGGACAAATTGATTCTCTATGCATATAATAAATGCCAAAAACAATGGCTCAGTCCTAGACAAAAAACACTTCTGACCCCAAAATCTGGACTCCATCCATAAAAAAGTGATGCTTTGTATTTGATGGAACATCAAAGAAGTAATTCATTTCGAACTCCTCAATCCACAGTGAACTGTCAATGCAGAGATCTATAGTCAGCAACTGGAACATTTAAATCAAGCCCTTCATCAGAAACACTCTTCACTCATCAATTGAAAAGGTGTACTCCTTCTACATGACAATGCACATCCACATGTGGCATGTTTGATGCAACACAAGATTATGGAATTGAGTTGGGAAGTTCTCCCCCACCCACCATATTCTCCAGATATGGCATCATCAGATTACCATCTTTTCCATTCGCTGCAACACCATCTTAATGGGAAAGCTTATGCAAATGTGGAAGGTGATAAAGAGGACATCGACATGTTTTTTGCTTCAAAGCCAAGTGATTTCTTTAATCAGGGCATTAACAACCTGATTGTAGAATGGAAAAGCATCATTGATAAGAATGGAGACTATTTCATTTAATAAATGTTTTTTTTATATATATCAGTTGTTCAGGATTTTTCCTCTAGAAAAAAAGGGACATTAATTTCTTGACGATTTAATATATACTGCCAAAGTAGTTTTACAGAAAAATTCAGCTCAACACTAGAGATTGAGTAGGGGCAGATTGGCAGAACGCTCTCTGTTATACCTTACAAGATGCAGATCTAGGGAGGTAACACCAACCACATTCTCCATGTAGCTTACCAATCAGAAAACTGAATATAAAAAATACAGAAGTAGTGACACTCATAGAACAGTACTCTGTACACACAATAAAGTATAACGCAATATAACTCTTCCATAAAACAGGAGATGAGTTCATTGACTGGATATGATGCAGAAATAATGTGGTATGCAAGCATATCATGTGTTAGCTACCCTCTTGTCTTAACATAGTTTTTCAAAATTTTCATATATTCAGGTGTATGCAGTTTCAACATACACTCAGTCAGGAAGGTGTCACTATGCAGGATTGGCTTCCACATTATAATGCCTCCCTGACTGAAAAGGCAAGCATGTTCAGCTGTGGGTTTCATTCCCATGATCCATAGATTGTGAATCAAGTATCCTAACCACCAGGCCATGCCACATATTCTTCAACTTGTTATTAAATACAGGTTGCTATCTCCAATAAAGGCACCATCCTTTGTCAATGCACATTTTTGATTGTTTGTTTTAGTGCTGAACCAAGATTGTTTCATTTTATTGTGCACTGCGTGCAGTATCTTTCATTTTCAAAAGTCAATCAAAGTCAGGGATTTCAGATCTATTCCATAAAGCATTTTCTGTTAAACTTCATTTTGCAGAGCCTACCAGATCAATTTTGGAAGAAATTGGTGCACCTGATAATACCACAGTAAAACCTCAATCTCAACTTAGCACATGCTATCAACCAGATTTAGTGTGTTCCAAACTGGAACTTAGAAAAATGTTGTAGATATGAAACATATACATTAAAGGGGAGTAAGGATATAGTATTTTCATATTCTTTTATATTCTCATTACTACATTTCCTGTAATAAAGTATTTCACTTTCATTTCCACTTTATACTTGTGTCTTGTCTCTTTATTCTACCGTTACAAATCTCTATAATTGTCCTTTCACATACCAGATCCTCAAAAATCTTGTTTTGCCAAAAATCAAGTAAATGTGTACAAGATTTATTCTTGAATTATCATAAAACTAAACATATATGACAGCATAATGTGCAAATAAATCCTGCTGAATTACTAATAATATAAAACATACATCATAATTTACACATTTAAAACATGATGTATATAAAAATAAACTAAATATTAAAATCTCCTGTTTTATTGTACATATCAATGGTATTTGTATTACAAGTTTTGCTACAATGTTGATGTTAAATTATAACAAGATGGTTGTTTTACTTGCCCATAGTTATTCTGTAATTGACATGTAGTTAGTTATCTCTGCACGCTTAACTTTAAAAAAAATCATAATATTGTCATCAAATATACTACTTCAAAAAAATGGAAAAGGCAATTACTTAATATGATTTGTATAACTTGTATGCAATTAGTTATATATATATATATATATATATATTTCCCATTCTCTCAAATAAATATGTACTGCCCTTTTGGGTCATCTTGCATGTGCTGTCCATTTGGAAAGACAGAACTTTCATTTTGTCTATAAATATTATAATTTGCTTATATAATTTTTTCCTGATCACTCAAATTTTAAGATAATTTTGCTGTGCAATCAATATATATTGATGGCTGGAGTCATATTGTCAGTTTGTGATCAAATACCTTGAATAGTAAACATTCCATAATGGCTATGATCTATGTTACACCTCCTTGAAAGCCTTGCCACACAATGTTAAAATGATTGTGGTTATGTAGACTGAGGTTATGGAAAAGAATCCTCCATAACATCACCTGTCTAAAGACTGGAAGTAAGCTCTGCTGACAGACAGCATTAATGCTGAAGATAGACATAGTTATTATTGAGTATATCTTTTTTTCCAAACATGGTATTAATTTTTACAATCAATGGAAACCTCTGTCTGTTCAATTGAGCTTGATGTTACCCATGTTCTTCAGGTTGTGACTAGTGTTAAATTGTCAATGGAACTGACTTATTAAAGTGCATTCAATGAACAAATGATGTTCCTACAATGAAATTCAATTTCAACTTTGTTGTCCGTTTGATGGAGAACAAATTAATCACAAAAATCTTAATCCTTTTTTTTTAGATAGACAGACAAATTGATAGATAAACCTACAATTTATACAAATGATAACTTATTTTTAATATATAGGAACCACATGGTCTATCCAATTATTTTAAAAATTGGATTACTTCACAGAGCATGTAGGTAAATTTGGTGTTTCACTTGTAGTTGTAACATATTGCCAGTGGTTACCAATTTGGGCCTCACAAAGCTATTTTCACTAGATTAATGAAAACTGTCCAACCAACAAATAAAAGTTGCATGTAAAATCTGTAAAGAATCAACTCTGTAGTGAAAAAAAAAAGAAGTCAAAATTTAAGTTAATAAGAATTTGTATTCTATGGTGGTTTAAATTTTTTATTATATCATACATTTTGCAGGGTTGATTATTTTGGTTATTTCTTACTTTGAAGACCATGAAATATTTATACATATCTTAAAAAAATGTTTGTACTAAACATTATTTCACTTTCTGAGTGACTTGTTAAATAACAAAAAAGCGATCATTTTTCAATTCTCTTCTAATAAGTAAAGATAATACGATTTTCTTCTGTAATCTCATAGCCTAGTTGAAACAGATGATCCTTTTTTTTAAATTTTTAAATAGTTACTTGCATTATAGGATTTACTGAATTAAAATAAATATTAAGTTTTCTGCAGTTGCTTACAATTTTTAAGAAAGGGGTGCCATTTGACCATTATAAAATTTAGAAGATGATGATACTATTTTGATGACCACTAACAAGAGTGAACTTGTAAAAAAAATATTATAAATATCAACCTTTTTAATCCTAAGTTTTCTAAAGCTCATGTAGCACCTCTTTAATATAAATTGTAATTACACAGTAAGAAAAACCAGAAAGTATTTTAAAAAACTGGAATTTCAAACAACAGAAAGTTAACAGATGGAACTGTGAGAATGATAACAAACGTTTCAGAGAAAATACATATTGAAGAAAACAAAAAGAAGGAAGTTTATCAAAGTGCAAAGAAATGGAATAAAAAAGAGCTCACCATTGGCTTCATGAAACTTCAGGCCAAACCAAAAACTATCATCTGCTTTATTTTGTAAGACTATATGATAATCTTGTTCTCCAATAGCTTGAAGGATACCTAATTAGCAAGAACAAGAAAAAACTGATCACATAATTTACTCTCCAAAAATATTTCTTATCAAAGATGATCAAAAGAAATTTTATGTAACACATTTGGGATTACTAATAAAATGCAATTGTTGTTAGAAAAAATTAAACTAATTATTTCTCTTAAAGATTGTCATTTCATAACTAATAAGAAAATGATAGTTTTCACAAAAGTAAATATGTAGGTGTGTGTATACTGGGTAAAATATCACAATGATTTTACATTGGGTCTCAATAGCTTACCATTAATGTAAAGAGAAGTTCCTTGATGAAATTCCAGCGTTACTCCAGGCTTAATGATAAGTGTCTTATTCTCTGGAATCACAATGGACACAATGACAGAGTATGGTTCTTCTTTGTTATCCAACACTGTAATATTTTCTATAATTTCTCCTCCAATTGTGGTTTCATCAAAGAAGAAGGAGTTACTTTGCTCAGAAGATATTCCTGTACAATTTTCAGACTGCAGAAAGGGTAAGAGGGCAACTTTTGGTTTTGAAGGGTCATAACGATTGTCATTGATACGAGGGGAAAAGTCAATGAAATTTGGGGAACCCCACCAATTTCCAGTAGCATCTATTACTCTAAAATTATGAAAATAAGGCCCCACCTTCACCAGATAATCAGCTTCATTACTATTAAACAAATTACATGGGCCAAGTGTAACATTTACATTTTCCAGGTATAATAGTGGATCAGCACTATTGTTGAAAAGGGCATTATAAGAAAACACCACAAAGGTTTTAAAAAAATAATAACTATTAGTGTTAGTTATTGAGATTGCTTTCGGTTTGCTCAAATTAGTGAAGTAATTATGCTGTATAACAATTTCATGTCCATAATTTTGGAAATAGTATGCATTAAAATTTATATATATGGCAGTTTCTGATCCATTGATAAAATTTCTTTCAATTTTTGTGACTCCTCCCACAGATGCATCATTGAATGATATAGCATGACTTGTTAAACCTAAGAAAGTGTTGTTTATCAAGGTAACATTCTGGTAACTGTTTCTCCCTTCGAAGGACAGGAAAGAATAAATGTTTCCATATGTACCAAGCATACTTACAAAAGTGCAGTTTTCAATTAACCAATCATAAACATCTTGTGATTTTGTTTTACTAATAATTCTCAAGAAATATGAATGATATCCAGTTCTCATGAGGAACACTGTATTCTTGATAGCAGAACTCTGTGTAAAACAATCAATGAAAAAGCTTAGTTAGATTTGCAAGCTGTATAATTTGCTTAGAATTAGTATAAATAATGAAATTAATATTAATTTAAAATAAGTAGAAAAAAAAGACATTCTATACTACCCCACTACCATTATGTGCAGCAGGACCTCTACATAAATGCTAAGTTCCAAGATTTTTATTCCTATTGAAACATTCAGACTAACGGAAAATGGAGAGGGTTGTGCTTATCCACAAATTGAAACATATTTGAATACTAAATATGGAGACTTAAACTAATATAAAATACTTTTGAAAGAATGTGAAGCAATAATTCTATAATTCTACAAAAGTAGGAAATGAATGCACAATCCTTCTCAAGCCATGAAAATAAGTCAGATGAGCACACAGTCCAGGCATGCACAAGTTAAGTAGACTGTCCAGAAAAACAGTATTTGTTGACACTATTGTGATGTTGTATTTTAGGAAAAAGGTTTTATCACTATCACAGTTGGGGATAACTTTATTCTATAACATAACCCTCAGGTGAGTTACTAAATGCAAATCGGCTAAATAATCATAAAATCTCTTGTATAAAACCACCAGATTTAGAGAGAAAATAGATAGATTAAAGAGTAAATAAGACTTATAAATAGTAAAAATTTATTGGTAATTCTGCCACATCTGGCTTTTTTAGATTACTAAGAAGCTATGACTCAGTGTTATACTACAAAATTCTCTACAAATACCTACATATACCTTAAGAGAAACAGAATCCCAATCAGAAAAATGAAGTATAAAAGGAATACATAACTGTCTGTATCACCAAAACAGGTATATACATAACTGTCTGTATCACTAAAACATTCATCAATGCCACAAGATAACTTTCCCTGAGCCTCCAAATGAGAAATTGGAAAGACACTTGAAAATTTGAAAGTTCACATAAATAATCTTTAAATTATATTCTTAAAAAAATTCTGACTTTTGCATTGAATTAGACAACAAAAGAGAAAGCCAGAGCAATTTTATCTCAAGAGGAAAGAGTTAACTCCACAACTGTCTCAGAAAAGAAAACTTAAGAAGAAAAATAAATAAATAGATTTTTTGACCTAACAAACTTCAAAAAATGGAAAAAAAGGTGAACATTTTGGAGTAAAAGCTACAAACAAAAATAGGTGAAGAGACAATGTAATACACTGGTAATAATTTTAATCAAAGTATTTATAACCAACACACAAAATGGTTAAAATGAGACAATCAACACTTGTAAGTCACAGGTAATATAAAGGTCACTATCAAAGGACAACATAAAGGTTAACACAAAAACCTGACAAAGATGAAGAAAATTTGTATCAGATGATAAGAACCTTCATTTATGCTCAGCAGATGCTTCCCAGTCTTGAGGGGGAAATGTTCAGATGATGAAAGCAAAGGAAATCTCATCAGACAAAACTGATCTGTTGCTAAGTTTTAATTTTTCACATAGAACATGACAATATAGAGGCATCATCTATAATTCTAAACCCCTCCAAAAAGGTGAGTTCAATAAACTTCTGAAGTCAAGAAAATGGTGATGCTGAAAAAAATAAAAAGTTCTTTTTTTTTCTGATATCAGCATATTGATTGTAGACCACCTTAGTGGTTAGTGAGTGATCAAACCTGTAAATAAGAAAAAGCCAACAAAACAAAAGTTAAATGAAAAGAAAAACTAAGAAATGTATCTCCAATAAAGACGTGCTAGCACACAGTTCACTGTCCATTTATTGATGAAATTTATTGCCAACAAGCAGTGGCGTAACTATGCAATCATAGATCAAGTTTAACAACACATTTTATACAAAATGCTCAGCCAGAGCATTTCTCTCAGAATCGATATATTATGCACACACATGCAGAGTGTATACAAATATATTTTCAGAAGGGTCCCTTTCAGGTGCAGGCCCTTACCATTACCTCAACCTAGATGTAATTATTTTACTTTTTGTTGTTGTTGTTAATGGGTGTTAATAAAGGTTATAAAGCCAAAATAAAATATATAAATTAATAATTGATGTATTGATATGTATTTATTTAATAACACAGAATTAGTACAGTACAAACAAACAAATAATCTAAAAATAATATTAATAAATCTACAAGTGCCACAACTGATATTTTTGCACCATCTTTTGGCAGTTTTGTTCAAACGTAAAAAACAAATGTTGTACAGGTGCATAAATGTTTATATATTTTCAATGTTTTTATTTTTACTATTGATATATCTGTTTGGGCCCCTTTCAGATATGGGCCCCAATGCCACTGCATTGGCATAGTTATGCCACTGTCGACAAGTCAAGACTCGTACTGTAAAGAATCTGGCCCTATAAAAACTTGACATTTGGTAAGCCAGCCATGATTATACAGTGGTAAAAGACAGTAAAAGAAGGCATGAACAACAGCAGAAGTATACACAACTATAATGGTGGTGAAAATAGTGCAGGGGTTACAATCATGCTATATAACCATGTCGACTGATTTTGATAAATGAATAGAGAGAGGTGAGCGACTTGGGTTAAAAGATGGTGATCTATGAGAGTTTGTTGAATAACAACAAGACCTAGAGAAAGATGAGCATAGGCAGTGAAGAGAGGAAGAAAGACTAAAAGAAGAACAGGAAAGAGAAAGACTGAAAGAAAAAAAGGAGAGACTAGAAATAGAGAGAGAGAGAGATTAAGAGCACAAATGGAGAAAGAAGAAAATGAGAGAGACGAGAGATTGGAAATAAAATATGAGCACAAACTGAGATTGCAAAGCTCACCCAACAGAAAGAGGAAGGACCCAAGAATGACAATGGAGTTAGGGTCAGCTGACCCAAGCTGCCCACATTTAATAAACAGAAAGATCACATGGATGCTTTCCTGGAGGGATATGCCAAAAGTCAGAACTGGTATGAAAGCAACAGAGCAGTCTGTCTCAGCCCACTTCTCACAGAAAAAGGCCTACAATTGTATGCAGGCATGACATCAGAAGATGTCAAGTTAAAAGTGGCCTTGCTGAAATGCTATGAACTTACTGAGTAAGGTTTTCATTGGAAGTTCAGAGAAGTCATACCTGACACTGGAGAAACTGTATTTCATTTTGTGGCATGTCTACAGTGATACATCACAAGATGGACTAACATGACCAAGTATGACAACAGTTTTGTGGGACTGGCAGATCTACTAATATGTGAACAGTTCATGATCAAGTGCTCAACTGACATGTCACTATTCCTAAAGGAAAGAGCACCAAAAGACATGGAGGAGATGATCATGCTGGCAGAACAGTATATGGAAGCCCATGGAGGGATTATAACTGGCAAGTTCAAAAATATCCAGTTAACATCAAACCAGTGGTGGCTGACCAGAAGCAAGAGTCTACCAAAAGTGACAAGAGGTTAACAGACAAATGGAAGTACGGATGCTATATTTGTTATAAAATGGGGCACATTGCAAATGAGTGTAAATTTGTCACTGACAAGCAACAGCAGAAATCTCAACAGAAAGCAAAGAGATGCTATGCTTATTATAAATGGGACACATTTCAAGAAAATGCAAGTCTGTTACCAACAAGCAACAGCAGAAATGTCAACATAAAGCAGCTAGAGCTACCTACAAAGATGGTGCTGGCAAGAAACATGAAAAGAATGACTATCACCATGGATGCTGCTGCCAGAATAAACAGAACAGAGACAACACAAAAAGAAAGTAATATCTCCAGGACTAAACAGTGCATGATTGATAGTCAGCTAAAGTTAGCAAATGGATGAACAGTGCCAGTGGTGATTGGATCCTGTGACAAACATGAAAAGATACCAACAAATCACATCATACCAGTAGGTGAAGGCTATGTTGGGGACAAGAAAGTGAAAGTTTTATGAGACACTGAGTGCAGTAGTGCAGCCATGAGAACCAGTCTAGTATCTGATTACAAGATGACAAGCAAGATACATCTGTGTGTGTGCTGATTGATGTATGTAGAACGTACATCTACAGGAACTGAAGGAAGTACAGAAGAAATACCCTTTACTGCAGAAACTTTGGGACAGTGCCAAGGATCTACAGACTAAAGGATCAAAAGGGAATGTTGTACCAGATCTATCATGGTAGTTCTACTGGGGAAGTTAAACAGATCATAGTACCAACAGAATACTGGACTCAAGTGATGAAGCTGGCTCATGAGTCGATTGTGGGAGGACACCAACAAGCAAAGATGATGGCAGACAGAATCACCAGCAACTTCCATTGACATCTGCCAAAAGACAATACCTAGAGTGAAGGTAGCCAAGGTGCCACTGGGTGAGATGCCTCTCATAGAAGAGCTGTCCAGCAGAGTAGCTATGGACTTGATCAGACAATTAGCACCTGTTTTTGACAAGGGCAACTGATATGTGCTGACAGTAGTCGACTATGCGACACATTATCCATAAGCTATAGCACTGCTTAAGATAGAGACAGAGAGAGTAGCAGAAGTCCTCCTGGAAGTGTTCTGCAGAGTAGGCTCTGCAAAAGAAGTCCTGAGTGACAAAGGGACCCAATATACTTCATAACTGATGCAAGAGATGTGCAGACTCATCAGCACTAGCCAACTCTTTATGACCCCATACAACCTTAGATGTAATGGACTTTGTGCCAGGAGAAAACCATGTGATTCGGACAGGTACATGCAGGCAGTATTATTTGCTTACCGAGAAGTCCCACAAGCAAATATGGGTTTTTCACCCTTCAAGTTTCTGTACAGAAGAACAGTACAAGGTCCGATGCAAATATTGAAAGAGCTGTGGACAGGAGAAGAAGAGTCAGAAGTGAGGAATACATACAAGTATATGTTAGACCTCAGAAACTGACTGGAAGATACCTGTAAATTTTCTTAAGAGAGCTTGTATGCATCTTAAGGCAATCAGAAGTACTTCTATGACAAGAAGGCCAAGGAGCGACGTTTCAAGGTCGGACAGAAGGTTTTGGTTCTGCTACTTCTAGGCAACAACAAACTCACCCTGCAGTGGACTACAACAAAGAATCCTGTCAATGTGAAGCCCTACTAGATGTGATGAGAGACCAACAAGTGAACTGCAAATATTGGTGTAGACTATATGAGAAGAATTTGTGTATGACCTGAAACCAGTCTTTATGCATAGTGTAAAAAAATATTGTAAATATTTTTCTTGAAGAGGGGCTTATTGTTAGGTATACATGACTGTTTCATTTAAATTTAATATGAGAGTTATGATTTAGATTGCTATAAAGCACGAGAGTTAAATTTAGAATTTCTAGAAGTGATAATTTATCACAAGTTTGCTAACGTAACTGTTTATGAATCATTTGTTGTCTAGTTCCATTGTTGTGAATCAATGTCACATTACTCATACCTTCTTAACATCTCATAGTGTGTAGAAAGTTCTATGCCTCAATTGGGCAATATATATAGGCGACCAAGTTAAGTGAGTAAGTTAAAGAAAGAGAAAGTAAAGTGAAGTTAGAATGCATATCAGTTTAACCATAATGGGCAATTTCTAAACTGAGTTTCACAGCTTGTATTATAATAATAGAGATAGAGTGTTCTAAAGTAATTGAACCCACCTGTATGGACTGTGACAAAAAAAGAGACAATTACTTACAGCTCTGGATACAACTGTGATAACCAATATTGTGACAAAGTTTTGTACATAAGTTTGACTTGTTTTGAATAAATTATTTTAAAACAAGTGGATTATGTGCTGTCCATTTATTGTTAAAATGTATTGTCAACAAGTCACAGACCCCTACTGTAAAGAATCTGGCCCATAAAACTGACATAAATAAAAGGAAAAATATAATTTGACAAAATACAATCTAAGACACTGTGCATAAATGCAGAACTATACAAAAAACTGATCATAAGTAAATGAATGGGTAGTAAAATTATTAATGTTTATAACTTACAATAATTTTTTGCCACTTTTTGAAATCATCCCAAGGTCTACAGTAACTGAAAATATCTTCTCAAAAGTATATGGATAAGATGTGGATGTAAAAAAAAAAGTCTTCCAACGTAATACTTATGCTATTAATACCATTGTTAAATAGTAGTATTCTATACCATAATTACCAACAATAGTATGTCATATTTGGTAAATAGCCATGTGTTATTGAATTAAAACTCATTGAATCATTTTTGCTCATAATAATCCAAGCCTTATATTTTCTAGGAAATAATGTGACAATCACAACATAATTATAAGTAAACATTTCAAGTGATTTAAAGATTAAGGATTGTACTGACATAGTAGTGTAGTAATTCAAAGATAAAACAAGAACACAGTTACCTGATCTCCACAAAATATAGGTCAGGAATTTAGTATATGAAAGTAAATTAAAATAGACAAGACATAGTAAAGAAACTCAAAATCAAAATACGTCTTATTTTCTGTAGAAAAAGAAGTGAAAATAAAATGCTGCCTGATAATTCTATTGAAGGGGCTACTGTATTCTAAAGTACAATGAAATAATAAAAAAAAGGAATTATAAAAACAAGTTGTATTTAAATAAGGAAAATGAAAAATACATTTTTGCTGATAAATAAACAAACAGACCTGGATAAACACACAGCAAGAGCAGTAGAAGAACAAAGTAAAACAAAAACAGAACTTCACTAGCAAATCTTTGCCTTCCCCAAAAGTCTACTTTCCTCAAAAATAGAGTAATCTCACTTAAAATTGCATTTGAAAATCACTTTCTCTCTGTAGCTGATCAATCAGACAATTAACAGTTTTCTACATATATATATATATATATATAATACATACAATAAAATTATCTGATGAAACAATACATAAGTTTCTTGATTGAATCTGCTATAGAAAGTAGCATCTCAGGTTGAATTTAGAACTGGATTTAGTGAGTTCTAGATTAGAGCTTAGATAAATTAAATATACACACTATACTGGTAATATGAGAAAGGTAAATCCCTTCACCTCAACAAAATACTTACAAAATTATAGTCTTGTTCTGAGATTATTTTTCCCAAGTTAGCACCATATACGTATTGATGGCCAATTTCCAAAACAGAATCAGTCAGCAAAAATTGACCATGAGGAATAGCTACTGAGAATCCCAGGTTAGTATTATTGATGATCTCACTATATTCTACCAAAAATTGGACATTTTTAGTAGAGCTGACATCTAAGAAAAGCCCTTTGGAGTTTTGGCGGATGACTGAGTGAGACAGACAAATGTTGACTTCTGATGTCAGTTCTTCTACTGTAATGCTGACACCAATCCCATCATTGCTCAAAAAACTTGAATTGTAAAGAACAGTATCTCTGGATGTTTGTAGGGAGGCTTGTAGTCCTACACCACAATTATTAACCACAGTATTTGTAATATTTGGTAAATAACCAGTTGCTTTGATCCCTATTAAGGCACCAGTAATATTGCAGCCCATCACAATGCAGCTTTCTATAGAAAAAACAAAAAAATATTTTAGTTTAAAAGTTGTTTTCATTTAATTTACTAACCATATAAATATGTTTTAAACCTCAAAATATAGCAAAAGTATCTTGTAGTTCAAATTAGATTTATTTAAAAACCTAAATAATTTCATTTTATTTTTTGAATTAATCAATTTTTTAATTGATCACTAAAATATTACTAAACTTGATATTTCACTTCAAATAATTATCAATATCATCAGCAAAAAAATGGCTGTGAGTACAACTATACTCAATATTATGATTGGATGTATTATAAATAATAAATAAAAGTACTGAAAGATATGTATAGTATATCTACATACTATATGTTTTCCACCCCCTTTAGATAAAAGTAAAATTTTCAATTTTTTTTTTCCATAATTCCCTTTTATAAAACAGTTAGGCATTCAAATGAGTTATTAATTTAAATTTTCTCTAAGTTGGGACTTGTGTGGAAATAGCAGCTTGTTAGCAAATCAGGTACTAGTTGTAGACAGTAATGCCCCTATTTCGCAGATGTCCCACTAGCCAAGAGAGGTAATTAGTGCACAGTGTGGACTTGAGTATGCTACAGAGTTAAGAATAATTAGGTATTTAAGCTCATATTTTACTAGGGAGTTCAGATTCGTGGTTACTTTCAGTTTCTTTTAATCTTTCAGCAGAAACTCTTAATGTTCTTGCATTAGAGTTCTATGTAACAAGTTAGTCTTTCCTTTTGTTCTACTTAATAAGAACTCTTAAAGAGTGCAGCATTAGCATTTGTCTTCTGTAAACAAAATATTTAATCTTAACTTTAACTTCTACTTGTCAAAGCATGAGTAAGCATTCACTTTCATTTTTGTTTTCTACATATATCATAAGTAAAAAGATTTTAGACTTTGTTTCATATTATGTGTGAAGTGTTGTTATTGTTAGTATAGTATTGGCTCCACCACTATTAGAATCATTTGTTGAGTGAAATTGCTTTGGTGAAATCCAGCAAAGAACTTAGATTTCACATAATGATTTGAACTTTACAGTAACATCCTTAAACTTAACTTGAAGCTGATTTTTTTAGTATTTACTTTTGCTATAATTTGAGTTACAGGGGGAAGGACATGCACTAGCAAGAACCTGATTTATTATTAAGGTATTCATTATAGTTCTTGCTAATCTTATACTTTTCATTCTAAGGTACATATAGATTAACTTGCCCAATTTTTCAGCATATTATCAAGTATTGTATTGTTCATTGGTTATTGAATTATTAATAGTGATTAAATATTGCTTTTTGTATGAAACTTGAGTCTTGTCTCTTGCTTCAGAACCTATATTTGTTACAGCTTCTAATCTGAAACCACCTGTTCTTAGCAGGTCTAACTTCTCTGCTCTGTTGGTAATCTGTGAGAAATCACATATATAACTGTTTGTTTGTTAGAAAGGTTCTGATAGTGTATTATGTATTTGAAAAATAAAGGCTGTTATTACAATGGGTCTGTTAAACTTATGCAAGATGATTTGACTTCACCCTTATTATCTCTCCAACCCCATACTAAAAAAACGTTATGATATATCCAATATAAATACTCCATAAAGGCTAAAATGTGATCAAAGTTTCTGACAAATGAAAGCAAAATCACATCTTTAAGCTGAAGATCAAATGGATAAGTTTATGTATATTCGTTTGATGAACTTTATACAAAGCTAGACAAGGGTTATTTTCACCAGCCATCCCTAACTTTGAACTGATAGACTAGAGGGAAGGCAGTAAGTCAACATTATCCACTGCCATTTGGACAGAACTGTCAACGGTGATGAAAAATGGATTCTCTATGCAAATATTAAATGCCAAAAACAATAGCTCAGTCCTACACAAAACCATTTCTGACTCCAAAACCTGGACTCCATCCACAAAAAGTAATGCTTTGCATTTGGTGGGACATCAAAAGAGTAATTCATTTCGAAATGGATTCTCTATGCAAATATTAAATGCCAAAAACAATAGCTCAGTCCTAGACAAAACCACTTCTGACTCCAAAACCTGGACTCCATCCACAAAAAGTAATGCTTTGCATTTGGTGGGACATCAAAAGAGTAATTAATTTCGAACTCCTGAATTCACAGCGACCTGTCAATGCAGCAACTGGAACGTTTAAATCAAGCCCTTTATCAGAAATGCCCTTCACTTGTTAATCAGAAAGGTGTTCTTCTTCTCCACAACAATGCATGTCTACATGTGGCACATTTGATGCAACAAAAGATTATGGAGTTGGGTTGGGAAGTTCTTCCCCATCCACCATATTCTCCAGATATGGCACCATCAGATTACTATCTTTTTTTGTTCACTGCCATACCATCTTAATTGGAAAATGTATGCAAATGTGGAAGGTGTTAAAGAAGACATCAACATGTTTTTTGCTTCAAAGGCAAGTGATTTCTTTAATCAGGGCATTAACAACCAACCTGATTGTATGATGGACAAATATCATCAATAAGAATGGAGACTACTTCATTTAATAAATGTTTTGTTTTGATATATAAAAATTGTTCAGGTTTTTTCATATAAAAAAAAAGTGACATAAATTTCTTGAAGACCTAATATATTGTTACATCTCCGTTTGTTAATTGATTTTCCGTAACTTCGTTCCGACGAAACTTTAGCGACACAAGTCCTTACTTAATAAAACTGGTTTATTCTTTCCGAATACAACTTTACGATACACTTATTTTCAACAGTTGCTCTATAACAAATGCTATATCAACGAACGTCAACAATACTTCTGACTGCAGTTCAATTACTCACTACCTACACACACACACTATTGCGTCACGTTGTCACCCTCTTATATATATACCAGACTACCCTATATCTAGTAATCTTCCGACAATTCCCGAAGGTTCGAGAGAACGAGTCACGTGACCTCGCTGACGCAACAATATTTTCAAATGAATAACTTCACAAGTCTTCTAAAATGCAATAAAATTGAAGTTTTGATTGAGGATCCAAATTTTATAGCTATATCACAGAGTATACTTTTTTTAATGATAAATGTAAAAGAACAAAATTCTCAAATGATAATTTTTTCATTCAGTCTTGAGCATTAATTTTATGTTTATATGTGGATCAAGGTGTGGACATAAATTTGCTCACTATGAGTATAATACTTAGGTTTAAAATTGATAAAATTAACTACAAGTGTGACAAGTTCATATTGTAATAATAAGTAAATAATTTCAATGTTTTTATGTAAAATAGTTTAATGAATATAAAATTTTATTGACCATGAACCTTCTAAAAGTCACCATTGCTTTCCTCCTGAGAAAATCAACAGAACTGTTACTACACTAAAATCCTTTATAAAAGAACTGCAGATGGTTACAAGATGATGTTGCAATATTCTATAATCACACATACTTCAAGAAATATGACTTTGCTTTATCCCTATGTACACGAGTGACGGCAAAAGTGAAATGTTATGATCTTTTAAATATTCAATATCACAGTTATCAACTACATATTTTACCCTACACTTCTGACTTAATAACAGCTCATGGTAGAAAAAAGTAAATACAAGATACAACGTACAGGGATACTGAAAAACACTATAGATATACATTTCAGAAGTTCTAGAAATTATGTAAATATAATGTGAAAACTGTACTTTGAACAAAAGTATTTTATTCTACACACAAATATCACCCTGCATTCCAACTTGTTGGTATGAATCAGAATGACATCATCAATTCACAGCACATATCTTGAGTACAGAAATTGTAACACAACTGACTGTTGTGCAAAACTTATTTGTATATTTTTACTCCAAGCTTGAAGTAACAGTAAAAGTAAAGTTCATATCATAGTCGATATTCCTTCTACAATACAGGGTTGGTCCATTGGACTGACTCCTCACATATTCAGTTAAAAGTTTAAAATTAGAAACTATATTCTTTAAAAACTCTCCTTTGATGTATTATATATTCCTCAGAAATATGAAAAAACATTGGTTTCAATTAAACCCAACACTATATTAAAATTTTGTATTCTATCATTACTCTGCATTTGATTGGCAAAGTAAAAATACTATTAAGCTAAATCCTGATTTTTCTATTTAATATTTCATTTTAAAACAATAACTTACCCAGTAATTATCTAAGACTTATGCTATTGAATATGATTAGACTTTAAAAAATGCTGTACTGTAGTAAACCTATCATTAGCCTCTGCTTTTATTGATAAAAAGCTTTATATCAGATATATTGCACAACAATTTTACATTCCTAAAGTTCTCATTAGTAAGTGAATTTCCTGTTTATGAAAACAAGAGCATTTACCTGAGGAATTTCTGAAATGCAAGCCACCCCACCTTCTACCTTCGTTTGATAAATCTTGGTCCAAGACAACTATGTTATCACTCTCTCCTTCAATTTGAAGTAACCCTAATCAAAATTAAAAAATACTATAAACTGACTCATAGAAGTTACATTCTATCCAGATTTTTCCAATGTCTATGCTACTAACAGAATAGAAAAACTGTGTTCTTTCAAATATTTATGATCATTGAGTTAAAAATCATCACAATAAGTACATGATACCAAATACAAAATTGAGAAACACATTTATCAAGATATCTGTAGCTTTATTATGATATGAAGATGGTACAAGATGTATGTTAGTCCAAATGTGGTAGAATTAAAATTATCCACATCTTTCCCACCAATAATATCTTTGTATCCAATATATACATATTGGTGACTTCTTATTTTAAATAATTACAGTAAGTACATGATACCAAATACAAAATTGAGAAACACATTTAGCAAGATTTCTGTAGCCTTATTATGATATGAAGATGGTACAAGATGTATGTTAGTCCAAATGTGGTAGAATTAAAATTATCCACATCTTTCACACCAATAATATCTTTGTATCCAATATGTACATATTGGTGACTTTTTATTTTAAATAATAGTTGTTAATGTTTTTGTTTTTTTCTAAATGATCCAACTACATACAACATGTATAATAGGAGAAAAACTCAGCATTAATTTCCTTCCGTGTTGGATTTTTTTCATATGTATCATACAAAACCATATGCCTAGAATATTTAACTTCAGAACCAAGTGATTCATAGTTCAAAATATGGTAGATAATCATCAAATATAAAGAAAATGGCATTGAAAATGGTTAGTAATGGTGGATCTGAGCATATAAGTTGTTAAGGAGAATAATGAGAAGTCAGTGATCAAATTGAAAAATTACTCCTTTTCCTACCAGACTGCTATGAGAAAATATAATCAGTTACCTTCCAAAAATATATCATATTGTTTAAACAAAATGAGCTTATTGTGTGGAAGGTGATAAGATCAATGATAATCTCTTCTTTTCTATAAGTATGAGTAATGATAATTGATTTGTTTATTTTAGTACAAAAAAAACTTAAAAATTGAATTTAAAATACTCATGCAAAAACTTAAAAAATCAATGTACATCTTAATGTGCCAATGCTTTTTCTGGTTAAACCCATTGGCCCAGAAGACTTTATATCATAAAGAGTGCACCAGTTGAAAGTAATGTAGAGAATGTGACCCTATAAACACCAGAACTTACAGAAGTTTTGGTAACAATACTGTTCTGTGAAAAAAAAAAGTGTTGAAAGTATTCTTTATACCATATAAGGTTATTACAATAAATTTCTGTCAAATACCACTTTCTTAGTGCATTCCATGCCTCGAAATATAATATGAAAACTAAATAAGTTACAAGTCTAATTGTACATTATCTGAAGAAATAATAAGTATCAAAATAGTGACAATGAATATGCTAAAAACATAAAAAACTGAAATAAGTTTCAGGTAACACAATTCCCTTACAGCTTCTAAGAGTATATATATATATATATATATATATATATA